GGGTGGGAAGATGTGGTCCAGAGGATACAGAATTTCAGCTAGGAGGAAGCAAGTTCAGGAAATCACTTGTACAACATAGTGACCGTAGTTAATAACAATGTATTGTATTCTTAAAAATTGCTGAGAGAATAGATCTTAATTAATCTCCAATAGTAAGTATGTGAGGTAATGCATGTGTGAATTCACTTGTTATAGCCATTCCACAGTGTACATGTATTTCAGGACACATTATATAGGATAAATATATATAAGTTTTATTTGCTAATTCAAGATAAATAAAACTAACCTAAGGACTCCATCATGGAAACATGATTTTAAGATTACCAGGACTGTTAGATTTACTATACCCTCTCCCAGTTCAGTTGTGTTCACTTCTAGGCTGCAACCAAGATAAACGGATGGATGGGTGGGTGGATGGATGGATGGATAGATAGATAGGTGGGTGGATGGATGGAGAGATAGATGGATAGATGGATGCATGCATGCGTGCACAGGCACCTGCACCCCCACCCCACCCTGCCAGCATGAAAATATCCTCACTAGGGGAGGTAGCAGGGGACAAAACAAAACAAAAACCAGAAACAGAAAAGCAACAAGAAGAAAACACCAGAGACCTGGGTTCTGGAAAGATTGGGCAAGGGCACTTAACATGAGATCCACACATGGACACTGGGATCTGTGAGTGGCAGGGAGTTGGAGTACAGACTTCCTGCAGATGCATGTTCATTTTCAGTACCTTCTCCGTGGGATTTGGGACCCAAGGAGGTTTCATATCATATACAAAGATATGAAAAATTGTGCTCTGTATGTGTAGTAAGAATTGTAATGCATTCTGCTGTCGTGTATTTAAAAAAATAAAATCAATCTAATAAATAAATAAATAAAGCCACTGTTGAAAGAAATTGAAAACCCAAGAGTCTTTTATGTATTTGCCAAACATACTCCCCCCCCCCCCCCACCAAGGAAATATTTAAGTGTATTCCCTGCAAGTAGAAATGAGAGAACTGGGTGACGACAGTGGCGAGTGGCTTCCAAACAACCTGGCCATCCAGCAGGATGAGGCCTTAGGGGTGGTGTTATGGTGCACCTACACAGACCACCTCTTGGAGGCACTGCTGAAGGCCTGGATCGGAGGGGACTTTGGGCAAGGAGACCTCTAGGTCCTGTTCTTTAATTCTCTGATTAAGGCCCTTTCTGGAACAAGCTGAGCTTCTTGAAGAAAATCAGAAGAGAACAAGACTTACAGGGGTACAGAAATCAACATTAGGGTCTGAGAATGGTGTGGTTGTTTCTGATACAGCAGAGACTGAAGCTCAGTCCCAGGAAACCATTGGAAACTTCAGTAGAGCAGGTCTGTCTGTCCTGGCAAAGATTGAGTCAGAAATCTTTTGACCATACTTAGAGAGCAGGGCGGGGAAACAGGACTCTGGTTGCTTTAGACTTAATTTTTTGACTGAAAATACTGAAGTTATGAATCACACCTTGATCCAAACCTGTGATTTCTAGAAGTTTGTGTTTCTATCCTGGTTCTTAGACTGTCAAACCAGCTTATGAGCTGAGTGCTTCAAGAAGGAGAACCAAGCAGCTCTCCATTTTCGAAAGGCTCCTGTAATGTAAATAGGAACAGCAATCTTTCCAAGTTATTACCCTGTTAACAGGTTGACAGATATGTGCAAATTGTGACTCACTGCTCAATTTGGCACTAAATTAATGTCTTTCCGCGCCGCGTCTGCTCAAGTGTAAACTAGTCACCACTGCTGTGTTACTGCTTGTTTGCCTATATTCCAAAGGTAAAAATTAAAGTAATTTGATTCTGCCACAGAACGGAGTGTGACATATGGTGGCAGTGTGGGAGTGGAGCACGCTGTTCCTACCTGTCCTCAGCCCTGCTCTCGCAGCGGGCACTGCGTGCTGTGGGCTCTGTGCAGACGCGCACCGCCCCCAGGGGCAGTTCTGGGAAGTGCTGCCAAGGCCACCTCCCTGGCCAGCCTGCACCCCCAGCAAGAAGAAGGTGCCATTTTTGTCTCCAGACTTTGAATTTGACGTTCCGAGCTTTCCTTATTTCTGACAAGTCACTAGTGGTAGATTTGTGTTTCAGAGTCTGTGTCTATTTTAAAATGAAGTGTTTTGATTTTTGCTTCTAAAATTTCGACATTGTTTTCCTCAGCTAAAGGTGCAGCTGACTTTCTCTTCTCCTCTTTTTAGCCAACACATAATGTCACCTATAACAAAGAAATTTACATCTCCTTTATGTCAGGCATGTGAATGAAAAGCAGTCTCCTTAAAATTCACTCTTGCCTAATGCAGTCTTTGAATCAAGTTTGCTGGGCATTATCTAAGTCACCAGTTGGGGGGAGAACCAACCCAGACCTCTCTGCTTTCCTGGTGCTCACTGCAGATACTTTTCCTAGGAACTGGTTTTCTCCTGCCGCTGCCTTCTCTCATAGATAAGATCTTCCAAGTAAAGGAATCCAGGAATGGCAGGGAGCATTTGAGACCTGCCCCATCAGAACCCTGGCCCTTGCTGAAAAGGCAAGCAGAGTCAGGGAGTTGGTGTGGAATTCTGGAAACCTACACGCTGGGCTTTCCTTCTAGGTTCTTGTGGTCACATAACCTACCGGTTCCCATTTTCCTAAAGAGATGGTGGTTTCCAGCGTGTATTCCGAAGCCTTCAAGGTGAAAGGCACAGGAGAAAGCAAATTATGATGTTGCCTTTGTGCTGAACTTCTGCATATTCATTTGCTTTCCACTTGTCCAGAGCTATGATGGCTATCGATTGAGGGTCAGTTCAGTATGCCTGCCTCCCCCTTTCCCCATTAGCATAGACTTAGCAGTGACCTCCATTCACACAGGACAGTGGACTTCTGCTTCCTGCTGAGTCTGAAGAAACTGGGTTTAAACCACCCACAGATTTAGAAAAGGAGTACAGAACTGTGAGAATGTTTCCTGTGACCTGGTATAAACTCTTGGCATGGAGTTTTTGTCATGTGTCTTCTGTCCTTGGAGCAGATGTTGGGCAGTGGTGAAAAGGAGTTGATTGCCTCCTTTCTTCCTCTATTCACATTTTTGGTGGCTTCTAAGCTTGTGCCCAAGGCTGTATGCCATGGGCTGTGAGTCTAGGTGGGGACTCCAGAGACAGCAGGTGGGGTCCTGGTCAGTCAGTTTCTTAGCCACCCAGGAGAGAGGCCTCACCTTTAGGAAACACTCGCCTCTCCATGCCTCGTTCTCACGTTGTGAGCCCTTCGAGAGCAGGGAGAGAGCCGTTGCTCCTGATCACAGAAGCCGTTGTGCACTTGAGGAGAACTGCGTAGTCTCCTTCTTCTTCGCTCCAGAGCCTGTGCCCTCTGCACCTCCACTGCCTCTCATGCATGCCCCTTGGCTCCCATCTGCTCGCTGTCCTGGTTGGCTCCCCTCCTTCTCCAGCTGTCCTGTGCAGTAAGGAAGCCCGCCGGCTGCACTGGCAGGATCCCTTTCTACGCTCTGTCCTGGGTATGCTGGGGTTCACTTTTCAACAAAGGACATCATGCTGCCTGCCCTCCCCCAGGAGCCCAGCTCTAACTGCAGTCCTCTCATGTTGTCAGCGCAGGGCTTATTCCTCCTTCCCTCAGAGTATGCCTTTTACATGTCCCTGACTTAATGGACACGTGTTTTAATTTGTCATAACTAACGGATAGGAAATCCAATGCCAAAGCCTTAATAGATAGTTTTGCATCTCAGCTATTATATTGTACATGCCCTTGTGCCCAGTGTGATTGCCTGGTGAGCACAAATACTCGTATGATTTTGTTCTCCAGGGACTGAGCCAGACCGGCTGTGTTTATGCTGTGGGTGGCATCCCCACAGTGAGCCTCCAGAGCAGAGAACTCATCCCACCAAGAGAGCACGTTTGCAGACTAGGCCCATGGTGTAGCAGAACTGCCAGCAAGAGCACTCAAAATCTTTGAGGACTTAATATGTACTAGATGCCATGCCAAGTGCTTAATGTTGTGGTCTCAGTGATTATTAATCCTCTCCAGATACAGGTTTTGCTTGGACCAGAAGAACAGGACTCCCTGTTAATGGAATAAAAATTGAACTGATGCTTGTCTGGTATATTTGGTTGTAGTGAGAGAGGTTTTAGGGTCAAAGAAGGGGACAGGAGTTGTGGCTCAGTGGAGAGTGCTTGCCTGGCATGTGTGAGGTCCTGAGTTTGATCCTCAACACCTCAGCACCACAAATAAATAAATAAATATCCATTGGCAACTAGACAAAATATTTTTTTAGAAAAAGAGTTTGGGGGCGCTGGGGTTGTGGCTCAAAGATAGAGTACTCACCTAGCATGTATCAGGCACAAGGTTCAAACCTCAGCACCATGTGAAAATAAAGATATTGTGTCCACCTAAAGCTAAAAAATAAATGTTTTTTAAAAAAAGAGTTTAGGAATAAAATCATAATAGGCAAATGAAAAACTAACCAAACCAAGACAGAACATAGATCTAGTAAAACAGAAGTCTGTACAAGCAAATAAATGTACTCATAAGCCACTGTGTGGCTCAGCTTTTTTCAAAATTATAAGCAGAAATTTTGGAATGTAACACAGAGTACTGATTTAAGCAGAACTTGTGGTATGCTGTGATTTTAAATCAGAACACAACTGAGGAAACAGGAATGACTTTGGGTATTTAAAACAGAGGAATTTAATTCAAGGGATTTGGCTATCTGGGTGGTGGTGGGCAGCCCAGAGACGGGCAATAGCAGGAAGCTGTGGCCAGCTGGACTGGAAGGACAGACGGTGGAGGCTGCCTCCTGGAGCCCAGTGGCCTGAAAGGTGGCACAGCTGAACTCCCACCCCTGTTGAAGAAAGCTAATAGACCATGGCATAAGATGAATAGTTCAGAATGAGCATTCAAAACATTTTGTTGTTGTTTGTTAAATTAAAAGCCAAGTCTTAGTCCACTGTGGGCTTATAGTCCTTTGCCAGGGTTCTAGTTTACATGCATGTGTTTCTGATTCTCACCTAGATATGTGGACGACGTGATCAGCCGCATTGACAGGATGTTTCCTGAGATGTCCATCCACTTATCCAGGCCCAATGGGACATCAGCTATGCTTCTGGTAAGAGCTGCTTGACTATTTGTGGCGACACGTGGAAGAAAAATTGCCTTCAAAATTAACTCTCTGATCCTGTGTGGTAGGATCTATAGACTGGAGATTAGATCCCAGTTTGATGGTAAACAGCATGTTTTGTTTTTTAATTTCATTCTATAGGCTAACCATTCTACATGTTGAAACCTTGCTTTTGAACAGAATTTGCAGGCCCATGCAAGAGTTAACCCAAGTGGAAAGACACAGTGAGCCCTCCAGTCAGTTCATTTGCAGACCTGTCCCTGACAGTACTGTGGTGACTACGTTTTCTTTGTTCCCAAGAGTTGCATGAGATAGGAATACTGTTTAGCTATTGGATCCTACAGTCCAAGAAAATACTCTTTAAAACAGAACCAGCTTTCATGGGACTCATTGATGAAATTCTTCTGTGTTTGAAGAAGGCATCTGCACCCTTGTCACCAATGGCTTCTGGTTTTGTTCTTTCTGAGTTGGGTTTGCTCCAAGCAGGTTGGCTTCATAATCTTGCCCCCGATGTTTGAATTTTCATAAATTTACCAGAGACTTTGTGTTTCAGAAATACAGTGGGCTGGAAACGCAAAATCATACAGCTAGCCAGAGATGCCTGGGCCTCCGCAACAAGGGTTCCTGCCATTCCATACAGCAGCAGGTGCTGAGGGGCCCTTCCCTGCGTATGGTTTTTCAGGAACCACCACCTTTCGTGGGTGGCAGGATTTGCCGGTTGAGAGCTGAGGCTCCGTGTCTGGTCACTGGCTGCCGCCTTGGGGCCCAGGGTGCACTCCCCATTTTCGCATTTTACTTGAGTGAAATCTTACAAATAGCCAGTCACCCAGATGGCCTGCTATTCATCAAGCCATTCATCCTAGAAGAACAGGCTTATTGTGTGTGCCTTAATGTGCTTATTTCGTGTTTTTCTCCTAAGGATGGAAAGGATGTGGGCTTGTTAAGCGTGCAGTGTTTCATTGGTGAGAAAAACATTAGTGAAGTTCACCTGGATAACGTGCTGCTTTTCTATAAAATTCTTTCTGCTAAAATATAAAGGGAATGAAATAATACAGTGTTCTATTGATAGAAAAAGAAAGCAATTTTCTTTATATAAAAGGTATCTGTCTACACAACATGCAATATTTTCTGCCTCCATTAAGTGCACAAATTGTCTACATGTTAGGATCCTCTAGAGCTTGCAGATAAAACATAAATCCTGCTTTCAACATATTTGACAGGAACCAAAGAGTTAATGAAGATAAAAATGAGAGCGTCCTCAGTGAAATAGGTTTGTTCAAATTATTTCTGGGTCATTGGGCTTTCATTTCATGATGAAGGCAGGAACCTGGCATTGGAGGGAATGGGTAAGCAGGATCGCAGGCAAACAGGCCCGAGACGCTGCAGTTACTTCCACCTGAGAAGGCAGCTCTGTCTCACCGTGACCTGTCAGCCTCCTCTGCTCCCGGGGAGCTGCTGTTCTGATAGACTGATGAGAGTGTGGGGTGCTCTTCAGAGGAAGGATCCCCATCACATACACCATTTTTACCCCTGCAACAGCTCATTCAGATCTGTGTACGTTTAGCCAGCTAGTTGTTACCTGTCTTCAGTGACACAGGAATTCACAGCCGGTGGTGCTTATTTGTAGGGATAGAGGTGGTGATTAGATTGAGAATCAACATCCAGGCAGGGAATCATACTTTGAACATAATTGCTTTGTTTGGCTTCTACTTTTAGAGGAAGGTGTTTCAGTGGCTTGCAGCTCCCTAGGCCATTTGCCTCCTGCCACACCATCTTCTGTGAGGGACAGAGAAGGAAAGTCTCAGCTAGGAGGGACATCAGGACGGACAGCTACCCCCACCCACCACCACCACCTCTTCTAGTAACCTGTTTCCTGGACTTCAGAGGTAGAGGTCAGGGACCTATAGTGTAGTCAGAAGGACACCACTTCGGGAGCCACAAGCAGGAGTTAAAAGTGTTTTCCAGAGGAGAAGGCTTGAGCAGTGGTGAGCCTGGTGGGAAAGGCCAGTCAGGAGGCCCTTGAAGCAGGAAGGCCCTTCTTGAGCAGCCTCTGCCTGTACCTCCTCTCCCCTTCCTGGCCAGAGCTGAACCGTGCCAGTGCTTCTCCTCCTACAGCAGGCTTCCTTGGACGCGCCCCACAGAAACCTCTTCTGATTCACTTCAGCATCGAAGGGGTTGGCTTTCACTTGGGTGTTGCTCTTTCATGATGCTCACAGCCTCAAAGATTCAGGTCACTTGCCAGGAGGCTCAAAACCAGGATAGGCACAGATACGGAACAGAGCAGTGTCCTCTTGGGGCCCTGGGACCCAAATGATTTGTCATTAGGGCCTTCCCCCCTGCCATACAGCCTGGGAGGAGCCTGAAGTTGCTGGTCCACTTTTGTTGGGGGCAGGGGATCCAGCCTTGGCTGCCCACTGAAGTGCACAGGAGAGGAAGGGAAGTGATTAATTCCCCACAGGAAGAGGGGAGCAGCGTTCCGCATCATAGTGGCTGGCTTGGACTCATGTGGTGCTCCTGGTGCCCCCCACCCCAGGTGGGAGGCTCCACCTATGTTTATCTGACAGGTGGAAAGCAGAGGCAATCCTCTCTTATTGCTCCCAGCTGGGACCCTGCCCAGCCCAGCCTCCAGGATGCTGTCCTCCTGATTCTGAGTGTAGCTCATGCTGGAGCCATGAAAAATTTGAATGGTGCCAGGCAAGTCACTTTTTCTTAAAAAAATTTCTGTGCAAATTGTTAGATACAAAGAAGTATATATAATGTTTGTGTAAATTATAAAGCACCAATAAACCCATGAGCCCACCACTTGATTTGAGAAGCAGAAGAGTGGCAGTATGTGCTCCTCCCTGATATCTGCCTTTCTACTGCCCGAGGTCTCCTCCCTCCTAAGAACCCTCCTTCTCCTATTCTAAATGTGGTTTGCTACCTGCATACATACCCTAAGGGTCCTTGAGTTTAAGCTTCATTAAAAAATAGTTTCCTGCTATGCCTGATGTTTCTGAGATGTACCCACCCTGTGACTGGTTGTGTGTTCGTTGCTCCCTTGCAGTCCATTCTGTGTCACCCACACTTCATTCTTTCTCTGGTCAGGGCATGTTGGGGTTCTTCCCAGTTTTGCATTTTAAATAAGGTCAACGTGAGCATTCTCGTGCACACACCAGGATAACATTTTAAGCTTTGGTCTAGGCCATGGTGCCAGTGCAAGCCTTACGTGGCTGGTGGGATGGCTTTTTCCTAGGAGTCACCTGAGTTGTGAAGCAATAAGGGTGTTGTCCCACACGGGTGTACACAGAGGTCCATAAGTGGTTGCTAATAATGGCCTAGGTTCCTCAGTAGCACCTTCCACTGATTGCCCTGCAGTGTCAAGTCTCCTGGTGAGCGAGTACAGGGACTCTTGGGATGCTTGGGTGTCTGCATGGAAGAAGTGCATAGTCATTGCACTCCAGGCGGACCACCAATAAAAGGCAGGGTGCTGTGTCCTCCCTCACGAGCAGTTGTTGCCATGCAGCCACGGAGCCCCTGAGTGCCTGACCATCTGCAGTTTCGGAGCCCAAGGCTGTCTACTAATGAATGTAGAAGAAGTGGGGAGAACAAGGGAAATGACACTTTTTGAGGCTTCTATTTTAGGCAGCTGAGATCAGTTTGTTTCATCTAAAACCAAACCAGCTCTTCATTGTTGGCCTAGAAGCACCAGGGTTTCAGGCCCATCAGAAACAGGAACAGTCCAAGAAGCACATGCTCGAATCTTCCTCACAGTTATCCCACCGGTAGTACATGCAGAGGAAATGAGATGGGGTAAGAGGAGGGATAGGAGGACAGATAGGTACCCAGTAAGTACTTGCTGAATAAAGACATGAATGGCCGAAATAAAAGCTTCTTAGTATGGGCTGCAGTGGAGCCCTGCTCTCTAGCTGCTCAGGAGAGCAGGAGTAAGACATTTATAACAGTCTGATCTTGAAACCAACAGGGCAGTTATTGCCTTAACTTCTTCTGGTATCTTTTGAGCCTTAGGTGATCAGTTGTAGCCAGTACCCTTCCAATCCCAGCTTCTGTGATAACCTAAACTTTCGCCTCTTACATAATCTAAATGCACGTGGCTCTCTCTGCTCCACTGGGGGCTATGCTGGTGTTGTTAAGTTAATAACTCATGATATAATGAATCCTGTTTCTGTTCTTTGGAGGAATGAGCTCAGTCATCCAAAAATAAATTTAGCGATGTTGATATTTAGTTTCAGTTAATCTACTGCCTAACATCCCATTATTAATTTTCTTGAAACAGTCAAAATATTGTAAGAGCTTAACTGAGTCAGAGACTGGAACAAGCTGCTGGCTTCTCAGCATTTAAAATATTAATCTACAATTTTTGACTGATGTACTATGTACAAAAATGTAAGAAAACCAGAAAAAGAAGCTGTACTGTGATATTTGAAATATACCTTGATATTTTATGATCTTTATTTAGATGTTATTTGATTTTTTAAAAAATAAAGTTCATTTTTCTGTCTAAACGCACATTTTAACTAACCTTCAGTTTTTTAGCACATCCAGCCTTGCTTGAATGACATCTTTTCTGAAACCATTTGGATGCATTATCTCATTTTAACTCTGCCCCAAGTTGTTTGAGGGAGAAAAAACTGCTGAACTACTTAACCATTTGTGCTTGGATTTCTCCACTGAGCTCAAGAGTTGGCATCCTGAGTGGACCTGAGAGTCACCAGGGGAGTTTGGGCACAGTATGGCACATCCTGGCAAGCTGCATAGCCATCTCAATGTGTGGCCTTGGGGAAGAGCCCAAGAGCTGCACTTCCCTTGTCCCCAGGACCTCTCTAGGGACCCGTGGAACACAGTTTAAGAAATGTGATGTTGAACTCGTCATGCCTTGGACTTGTGGTGAAGTCTGGCCTTTCTTGGTTCATCTAAAACCAAACCAGCTCAGGCGTCATGCTGGCCTGTGAGCTGTGCCACCGAAGCATGCATACTTATTCAGAAAA